TCTCGTAGGGGCGGAGGAGTGAGGGAGAGGCTGGCTGTCACGCGTGAGCCAGGCCGGCGGGCAGAGCAGCGCCCGTCTGCGCGCGCTGCCTGCACCGCACGTTCCTCACGTTTCCGCGCCCACTGACTCACTCGTTCTTTGCAGTTAACCTTTAAAGAAGGAAAGGCATTCATTACGATGGTGGTGACTTTAGGGCCAGGTAAACTGAGGCCCGGGAGGTTCAGTGATTGGCCCGTGGTCACACTGTGAAAGGACAGGGGAGGCCACAGGCTCTGGCCACAGCGTTGTCACGCTCGCTGTGCCGCCTGGGGCGGCCGCCTCCCCTTCCTGGGCCTCAGCGTCTCCGTCCACATGACAGGGCCGAGATGCGAGTCAGCTTGGCCGTGCGCGTAGGCTAGACCGGAGCCTGGAGTCAGCATTCCTCCGGGAATCCCGCCCTGCCGCCTTCCGGGTCCGAGCAGGAGCAAACGGAGAACCCTCCGACCCTCCGTCCCCGCCTGGCGGGGCAGGGGTGGGCGTCGCGTGAGATGGCGCCAGCACAGCGCCCGCAGTCCCTGGCTCGAGTCAGTCTCAGTCCGTGGTGGTGACATTCGCCCTCAGGGCAGTGCCCCTCCGATCACGTCACCCGTCAGAGCGGACAGAGTGACCTCCCGCCTGCCAGACCTCGAGGGGCCGGACCCTGCGTCGGTCTGGGTGCCAGCTGAGCTTCCTGGGCGTGGGGCTTCCCGAACGTTCCCTCCTTCCCCCAGGCCTGACCCCCCCCCCATCGGCAACACTGGGGAGCCCAGGCCCTGCCAGGCCAGGCCCTCCTGGGACCCTCAGTCTCCCCGCGCCCCGTGCCGAGGACAGGGCGGCTTCAGAGCCGCCCCGTGTTGAGTCTTTGCGGAGAGACAACAAAGTCGGATTCTTAAATTCTTCATTAGAGAGATTTCATAAAGGCTTTTAAGTATTTTTTTCTTCCCCCACACTACCAAATGAAATAATTGCATAATTAGTAATAAATTTGTTCTTCCTCTAAATGCGGATTTTTTTTTAGGGTGTGTTAAAAATTTATCACGCTTCCTTCCCCTGACCCCTTTCTTCCACTCGAGTCCCCGACTGGTATTAATGCATTTTTTAACCTAAACTCCCTCCTCCTTTTAACTAGACAGGTCATTAATAAAATGTTCTCCGAGAGCCTGAGCTTTTTAAAGTTGTATATCTCCAGATAGATGGCTCGGGTGAGTTGCACACTGCTGCATTAAGTCTCTGTGATAAAATATTTATTCACCATTAGAATTTTTTTTTCTTTCGGACTGTTTGTGAAGTGTCTTGCTCTTTTCCTCGAGGCGGAGCGGGAGGAGGAAGGGCCCCAGAGTGAGCTCTGCAGAAGAAGCCATTTCTCAGTTCCAGCGAGCTCTCCTTCGGTCCCCTGCCTCGGCTGTCGGGGGGGCCGGGAGGGGGCAGGGCGTCGGGAAACGGCCTCCTGCCGGCCTCGCACCCCCGGGCCGGGAAGGGGAGGGGGTGTGCGGGATGAAAGAGGCAGCACCGTTCCTCTCGTGGCTTCATCGTGCTGTGGGTTTATGGCTCTGATGGAGCCCATTTTAAGACATTAGAGTCCAGGTCCGTTTAATAATCATAAACATTACCCTAATAGCCTCCCTTTATTGATTGTATACCGTGGGCTAAGAGCCGGGCTCAACTGTGTGTCTTTGTATCTATGAATATATTCAGTATTTCTAATAATCGTAAAACTGAGCAAGGCGCTGATGGATGACAGAAAGTGACGTGTCCAGATTCTCTGCTTTCATCCGTCTGTCCATCCGTCAGCTCATCCGCTCACGGGTGCTTTTGTGTCTGCCATGAGCCAAGGTGCTCGGCCAGGAGTTGGGAATCAACCTCTGGCGTACTAGGAGGAGCTGCTGTCCCCAGGAAGCTTCCGTTTGGGTAGACAACGAAGGTAGACAACGAAGAGCAGAGCGAGGTCGTGACTTCCCCCGGCCAGTGCCTGGAAGAGAAGGGAGCTCACGGCCTGAGCCTCCGTGCTGAGCCTTTGCTTTCTGACCGGATTCAGGTGTGGGACATAGTCCCAGCCCCCGCATCCCCCACCCCCGGCACTGCCCCTGCCGCCGGGTCTCTGAGTCACCAGCGGGCCTTCCCAGTGTGGTTTGCTCTGCCACGTTGACTCGACACTACGAATGTGGCTTTTTGAGTTTGCGTCACGTTGCCGGACTCATACCGCACTGCCTGCCTGATAGCTCCCTCAGATGTCTAATGCAGGAGCCCGGCTGGTCTTCTCCCACTCAAACGCTCCGCCGAGGTCGGGCTGCAGCACTCCCCTGCTTAGGCCTTCTGGTAGCTTTTTCACTGCAGTCAGCATGACAAACCCCAGTCCTTGCCCTGACCCGTCCCCTCTCCTGACCTCTCCTCTGGTCCCCTGGAGTTTGCTTCCTGTCCCGCAGCTGCGCTGGCTTCCATCTGGTCCACAGACTGGCCAAGCTCATTCGTGTCACAGGGCCTTTGCATGCGCTGTCTCCTGGCCTGGTGCCAGGTCTTGGTGTGGCCGCCTCCTCCCTGCCATCCGGGTTTTGCAGGCTCACCCCTGCCTCCCATGCTTCCAGGAAGCAGAGTGACGCATGAAAACCTGGGAGTCCCCCCCTCCCTCTCTCTGCCCCGCAGCCCCATCGCAATCCTCTGCCTGGCATTTGTGTCTGTGTTTCTGTTTTCGCTTCCGGTTTCCCCTCTCCAGGCCTGTGCCATCTCATACACTAGCCTTTATTGAGATGAAAGGAAATTAAACATTCAGTCCCACAGTTACTAGCTGCATTTCAAGTGCTTGGTAGCCAAGGACGGATGGCTCCTGAATTGGGTGGCACGGTAGAGAGCATTCCATCATCGCAGAAAGTTCTAGAGTGCCTGCTCCTCAGGGCAGGGACACTGTGTGCATGGTTCTAGCCACGCCTCCAGCACCCAGTGTGGAGTCTGGCACACAGTAGGTGTCTGGGACGGAAATGCACTGTGACGGGTGGCACCCTGTGCTGGACGGTGCTGTGTGGACCCCAAGGGGGCACCTTCCTTTCAGGGTGAGGGAGGCTGCTCGAGCACGTGCACCTGTGAGTGTGGAATTGCAGTGTATGCTCAAGAGCGGAGGCAACAGATGCCCTGGGCTGTAGAAGGCAGCAGACCTCAGCTCGCCTCCCACCCTGCATGCACCAGCCGGGAGCCTCTTTGAGCCTTAACATCCCCGTCTGGAAGATGGGGTAGCGTCCATGTGACGTCTCAGCTGTTGCAGGGCTATGTCGGATCGGAGCAGCTGCACCAGTGCTCTGGAGGCACCAGCGCAGTGTTTCTTGCAGTGCTGTCCGTGGACCGGTAGTGTTGGGGTCACCTGCAGCCTTTCCTTGGGGGTCGGGCCCCTCAATATCCTCTTGATAGCAATGCACACATCATTCCAGATGGATCTTGGCATTGCAGCTGCCATGATCTGTGGCATAAATATGAATTTCCTATGAGGGAAGAATAAACCCCTCTCCGAGGGCAGAGGATTTGGGCTGGAAGGAGACAGCCCTTTGGAAAGGCCGAGCCAGGTGAAGCCCATGGGAGCTTGGCAGGGCTGTCCACCCTGTGTGTGGCAAGGGACGGAGTCTGTCCCTGAGCCAGTAGCCTGCACCCTGCACCTCTCAGCCCTCATGAGACTGTCCTCCCGTCCTGGCCCCCAACCTCTCCCTCACTCCTGTCCCCGTGGGTCAGATTCATTAACAGTACGGCAGACGTGACGGCAGCAGGTAGCACTCTCTGTGCGTGGGCACTGGGATGGCTCATTTAACTCTCGGGCCAGTGCTGTGCAAGACAGTCACGTGTCGCGTAAGGGCGGGAGTACGCTCTGAGAGATGCATTGCTGGGTGGTGATGTCGTCATGCCAACATCGCGGAGTGTACTTGCATAAACCTAGATGGGATGGGCTACCGTCCCTAGGCTACAAGTCTGTTCAACCTGTCACTGTACTGAAATGCAGTTAGAACATCACAGTAAGTAGTTGTGCATGTAAACAATTGAACACAGAAAAGGGACATGAAAAATACGGCATTATAATCTTACAGGACCAACATCGCATGTGGAGTTCGTTGTTGGCCAACACGTCACGTGGCACGTGACTGTGTTGTCATCACTCCCTTCTGTAAGTGAGGAGACAGTGGCACAGAGAGGACTGGCCCCAGGTCCTGTAGCTAGAAAGCGGCAGAGCCAGGCTTTGAACCCAGCGCCTGGCTCTGGAGCCATTTCTTGGCCACTGTGCTGGGCGGCCACACTGTGCGTCCCTCTGTGAGGAGCGGGGGGTGGGGGGGCACTGCCATCCCCGGCATTGCCATGCTTGCTAAAATGAAGTGACAGCGCCGAGGGATAGCCTGGGAGGAGCTGGTCTGGGCTGATGTCAAAACCGTGCTGATTCCCGCCGGCGGCCGTCTGCTTCCCTCTCGGGCCGGGCCTGCGGGGTGTGCCGAGCCCTCGCCCCGAGAAGTGCCCATGTGAACTGAGCTGGAAGCAGCGCTGCACAGAGGGGCTGCGGCCCCCTAGGTCACACCCCTCCTCGGCCCCTACCCCGGCCCCGGCCGTGCGTCCCGTCTGTGTTGGCATCTGCTCCACCAGCACCGACTGGAAACTTGCACCTCCCAGGCTCCCCCCGCCCCACTCCCCAGCTGGCTGGTCGTGGCCCTGGCATGGGACCCGTTGTGCCAGAGAAGCCGGCCACTGTGTGCTGAGCTCACGGGCCTGGGTGCTACCCCAGCGTGTCCTCATGGCAGCCCCGCTTTGCACAGGAGGACACTGCAGCTGGGGAGGGGAGTCCGAGCTGGGGGCTCCAGGGCAGACCCCAGCCAGGTCAGCCCCCCAGGATATTAACACCATCCAGCTCTTGCCTGTCTCACAGGAGGACCCAGACTGTGCCATGCCCTCACCTTGTGGCGCCCAGAGCCCACTGCCGTCCCCCAGGGAGGGTGCTACTCATCTGGCCTCTCTCTCTGTAGGCCAGAAGCACTTGTGTGTCACCAGCCTCCTGATCTGCCAGGGTCTGCTCTGGGTGGGCACTGACCAGGGTGTCATCGTCCTGCTGCCTGTGCCTCGGCTGGAGGGCATCCCCAAGATCACAGGTGAGCTTCCGGGAGCTGGTCTTGGCGGGGCCCTGGGGTTGGCTGCAGATGGCCAGCAGGGCTTGGCGGGGAGGGCAAATTGTGCCCAGGTGTTGACCCTGTCTTCTGACTCGGGGGTTGGGGTCCAGTCTTCAGCTTCCTGTCATCTCTGGTGGCACAGTGGAACTAAGTCATTTTAGTCCCAGAGTGTCCTTTGCCTTCTTTTTGAGTCTCAGTTTCCTAATCTGGCAAATGGGCACAGTCATGACTTAAGGATTGGCTGAGACACCTGACTAATGGCAGAGGCTCTACTGGCCCCTTCTACTTCCTCCCACTGCAGTTTCAAAACGTCCAGGCTCCAGAGGTAGAAGTGTGGAATTGAAGTGTTCGCTCAAGAGCAGAAGCAACAGATGCACTGGGCTGTAGAAGGGCCAGGCCTGGCGCGTGCAAACGTGTGTGCACGGATCAGAGGACGTTCTGCTCTGAGCTGTGCCACCAGGGCCAGGAGAGCAAGGGCAGGGCCAGGGGGGAGGACCTCAATGTTTGGACACCTGGAGCCCTGGGCCCCTGTCTGTCTGTCCTGAGATGATGGCACAGTGGTCACTTCCAGCAGAGAGTGGGGCGAGAGGAGTGTGCAGCCCTGGGGGAGGGCCAGCCCCGCCCAGGCCTTGAGCCCCTCTGCCTAGGAGGAGTCGCTTCTAAATCCCCACGTTCCCATTGTCGTGGCTCATCACACCAGCACCGTGTTCACCCCAGGGGTGTTCCCGAGGGGCCCGTCTCCAGACCGGGTCCTGGGCGCGAGGCTGAACGAGCTGAGCCCCTGCCCGCAGACAGCTTTGGCCTCCCAGGGGCCGCTGTAGTCCGGTGGCCGGTGCTGTGGTGGGGGTGCTCCAGGGTTGGGGGGTGCCGAGAGGGGCAGATTCCGGAGGGAGTTGCTGGGAGGAGCCTGAGCTGGACCTCACGGAAGAGTTGCAGATTCAGGTAGACGTGAAAGGCTTTCTAGGCGGAGGCAACGGCGTGGGCAAAGGTTCAGAGACAGAGGAAATTCTCAGGGAATGTGACACCAGGGTTCCCCGAGTGGTGTGTAAGGTCGCTCGCCCCTGTTCTAGTCCCCAGAAAAAGGTGGCCCTGGAGCATGGCAGAGCCAGACCCGTGGCCTTTGGGGACGTGCCCAAAGATTGCAGCCACCGAAAACAGCCCACCCAGAAAGTTCTCAGGAGAGACGTGTGGGCGCCTCCCTTAATGCTCCGGGCCTTCGGGCCCCTTCTCCCTCGCCCGTCTCCTGTAGGGAAGGGCATGGTCTCGCTCAACGGTCACTGTGGGCCTGTGGCCTTCCTGGCGGTGGCGACCAGCATCCTGGCCCCGGACATCCTGCGGAGCGACCAGGAGGAGGCTGAGGGGCCGCGGGCCGAGGAGGACAAGCCGGACGGGCAGGCTCCCGAGCCGGTGCCCGCGCCCGACAGCCACGTGGGCCGGGAGCTGACCCGGAAGAAGGGCATCCTGCTGCAGTACCGCCTGCGCTCCACGGCGCACCTGCCCGGCCCGCTGCTCTCCATGCGCGAGCCCGCGCCCGCCGACGGCTCGGCGCTGGAGCACAGCGAGGAGGACGGCTCCATCTACGAGATGGCCGACGACCCCGACGTCTGGGTGCGCAGCCGGCCCTGCGCCCGCGACGCCCACCGCAAGGAGATCTGCTCCGTGGCCATCATCTCCGGCGGGCAAGGCTACCGCAACTTCGGCGGCCTGGGCGGCAGCGGGAGGCCGGCGCCGTGCGGGGAGACGGACAGCACCCTCCTCATCTGGCAGGCGCCCCTGACGCTATAGCCCCGCCCCGCCGGGGCGCAGGCGCAGCTGCAGGCCTGGCCGCGGCGGGTCGCGCTGTCCCCGAGGTCCCCAGCCGGTGCGGGAAGACTCGCGTTCCAGGGGCCCGCCAGGGCCGCTCGCACGGGCCTGGATTCTCCAAGAACGACTTTGGCAGGGTGAAGGAAAACCTCCTATTTTTACAGATATTTTTTTTTTTCCCCAGAGTGTTTTGGGGAGGGGTTTTAGGGTTAGGGGAGAGGAAGGACACATCCGGAAGGAAATGGCCTTCTTTTTAAAAGCGAAAAACACAAAACCTCACAACTGCCTGGCAAGCCCAGCACCGCCTGTCCCGGCCGCTCGGGGCTCCCAGGCAGGCGCGCGCCCGCCTGCAGGTGCGTGCGCGTGCGCGTGCGAGCGTGTGGGCCGCGTGTGAATATATATAAATACATATACATGGTGTACATTCTATGTGTATAAATACAGTCTGTACATATTGGAGCTCTGGGAGATGCTGGAATAAATGGCGAGAGCCTCATCGGTGCTTGGAGCGAGGCCTCGTTTCTCTGAGACGCGGGGGGAGGCGGAGAGAGAGCTGCTGGCGGGCAGGGGGGGCCGTCGCGGCCGGGGCCACTCAGCGGCGGCGGGACCGGGCAGGGCTGCCCGGGAGTCCCCTAGCACTAGCCACACGTGGCTCGTAAACCTTCAAATTAATTCAAATTCAACCCAATGTTGAGACCCTCCGTCGCTGTAGCCGCATTTCAGGTGTGGCTGGAGCAGCCCCACGGGGTCCGGGGCGACGGATTAGACAGCCCAGGTAAGGCCGTTCCCATCACCGCAGGACGTTCCCTTCTGCTCGAGAAGGGGCTTCTGGGGCTCCCTTTCTGAGTGTCTTTTGAAGAAAGGATTGGGGCCCCCCAGCTCCGGAACGGCACGGAGGCAGGAGGCCTCGGCGTCTAACGGCACACGCCGGGGAGGGAGGGGAGGCAGAAGGGGGTCGCAGCAGCTTGATGCCCTGGGGCGTGGGGGCTCGGGACTAGGGGTTCGAGGGAGGGTGGGGTGAGTTCCAGACGGGGTCTGTCGGCAGCCGGAGCAGAGCCCAGTTGCAGGTGGGGTTGATGGGGGCTGCCTGTGGCCCTGGCGTCTGTCTCTGGCTCAGTCCCTCCTTAGATTTTTAGAGCTGCCTGCAGGGAAACAACCAAACCCCAAAGCTACCACCCAGAAAGGTAGTGTTTCCTCCATTTTCCCACCTCTCTACGTCTCTGCCATTGTCCGTGTGTCTGTCTACCAGCCACCGGTGTGCAAGTCTGAAGTTCTGGGGACCCAGTGGAAAAGCCGCCGAGGAGTGGACATTCCCGCCAGGTTCTAACCCGTGGCAGGATCTCACCCACTGGAACAGTCACTCACTCACTTTGCAAACCCCACGAGTTCCTGGTATGTGCCAGGCACTGTGCTACTTGCTGGGGCCATAGGGGTGGGTGAGACAGCAGCCCCCATGCCCAGGGGGAGCGCACGGTCCCCCAGTGAGGGCTTGGGGAGGCGGAGGGTGCTGCCGAGGAAGAGGAGGAGGAACAGCCTGGGGGGGGAGGGTACCCAGAGGTTGGCTGATTCCCGGAGGGCAGGTGGTCCAGCGCGGGTCCCTGGGAAGGGGAGAGGAAGCTGTGTCTGGAGGAAACAGTGGCCCCGAGGGTCTCGCTTCCACGCTGACTGACCATGGCTCAGATGTGACCCATCTTTGCCGGGCCTCAGTTTCCCATTTTGCATCAAAAGAAGAATCACCACTGCCCTGTCTGCCTCGGTGGGGGAGGGGGAACTGCCCCGTTCCCGTTCTCATTGCTCAGGGCAGTTACTGCATGCCCCGTCGCCACGGGACTCCCAGCCGGCACCTGTGTCCCCAGAGTCAAATGCCGGCCGGGACTGTTCCCAGGACAGTGAGGGGTGACTCAGGGCTGCCTGGGACAAGGAGCAGGCCCGGACTCCAGGACGCAGCAGGCCTGCGTGCAAGGCCAGAGCCACGAAAGCCCAGCATGTGGCACCCAGCACACATCCTAGCTCAGGACGGTTTCCAGGCGGGAAACTGTTCCTATTAAGAAGTCTCCCCTTTGACCCAGGGGTGGCGTCCCAGAGCTGTGTGGGCCTGTCAGACCCCAGCCCTACAGACAGGTGCGCCCCTGTCCCCAGAGGAGACTCCAGTCCCATGGGGGAGGTGTGCCCCTGTCCCCAGAGGAGACTCCAGTCCCATGGGGGAGGTGTACCCCTGTCCCCAGAGGAGACTCCAGTCCCATGGGGGAGGTGTACCCCTGTCCCCAGAGGAGACTCCAGTCCCATGGGGGAGGTATGCCCCTGTCCCCAGAGGAGACTCCAGTCCCATGGGGGAGGTGTGCCCCTGTCCTCAGAGGAGTCTCCAGTCTGATGGGAGAGGTTCTTTTGGCCGAAGCGGAAGAGGAATCCCTTCTCTCTGGTGAGTCCCTGTCTGAGCCGGGAGACAGGACCCTCAGCCGAGAAAGCGACCTAATAACAAGACATGCAACAGAAACTTTTTAGAGCTAATTACAGTGCTGCCAAACCACTCTACACTCCTCATTTACACTTTCCTGGGGAAACGGCAAATAGCAGCAATGTGTAAATTGAGGAAAATTAATACAATTACCCGAGCCATTTCTTGTCACCTCTTCAGATCCATAGAAACCAGGCAGATTTCCGGTGAATAGCGTGGTCATCCTGGGCTCTCCCCTCCAGGCAGACAGCTGGCTCGTCCCTCTGAAGGGGTCGGGGCAGGTCCTTACGGGTGCCCACCCCTGATGGCGTGGGCTGGGCCTCAATCCGGAGACCTGGGTTTGAGACCGGCTCCGTCATGGTTTGCCGTGTGACCCTCTGTGAGCCCAAGTCCCTTCCAGTGGACGTCCAGGTGTGCTGAACTCTCCCTCTGCCCTTGAGGACATGAGTCGTCACAGCCACCCCCAGAGGGAGGTCCTGTTATCAGCACTTTACAGAGGAAACCAAGGTCAGGGAGGTGAAGTCACTTGCCTGCGGTCTCACAGCACAGAAGAGGACTCTAGGGCTGCAGACTCATATATTCTCCTTTTTAATTTTTCTTTTAGAGCTAGGCTCCCACTCTGTTGCCCAGGCCGGGGTGCAGTGGCACAATCATAGCTCACTGCAGTCTTGAACTCTTGGGCTCAAAGGATCCTCCTGCCTCAGCTTCACAAGTGGCTGGGACTGCAGGCAGGGGCCACCACGCCCAGCTCATTTTAAATATTTTTGTAAAGACAGGATCCAGCTATGTTGCCCAGGCTTGTCTTGAACTTCAGGCCTCACGAGATCCTCCCACCTCGGCCTCCCAAAGTGAGCCACTGCACCTGCCCAATGCCCACACCTTAACCCTGCATGACCTGCTGCCCCAGCCTCAGCTATAAAGCAAAGCCCATTTCCCAGCTCCCCCTACTCCGCTGTGCTGGGTGAGGACCCCTGAGAACAGGCGCCCACCTGCCAATGCAAGCTGCAGAATGCTTGCAAATCTTCAGCCTCAGTTTCCTCTTCCAGAACATGGGGGTGTCACAGACTGCAGGGGCTGCTTCTAGGGTGACATGAGCTAGTCCCTGTGATGCTCAGCTCCTGGCCCGCAGTGAGCCCTCGTTATCTGCATTACCATCAGCTCATGCAGGAGCCCACAGGGAGTCCGTCCGTATTCCGAGATGTCCCCCAGTGTGTTCCACACTCGGGCAAGACGCTGAGCCCTTCGCATCTTCTTTAGAGTGGCACGGCTCCCCTGAGCCAGCCGGAGAGCCCGGCCATCTGTGCAGAAACTTCTATCCACCCTGCTGGCTTAGCGCACACAAAGCCCGGCGCCAGGCATTTGTGGCACATGAGGGCAGAGCCCGGAAATGCTGTGCTGTCGGTGGACGTCCATCGCGGGCTGTGGCTGGTTCAGAGAGCAGGTGGTCTGAATGGCAGAAGACGTGGCTGAGTTTGGGCACGTGCTATCCGAGAGCACAGCCCGCATTCATTCATTCAGCAGTGCCTACCGCCGGCTGCTGCGTGCCAGCCTCCTGGGCGACACGGGTTTGAAAGAGAAGCTTGTTCGGTGCCCAGCGCTTAGGGAGGAGGATGCTGGTTCGGGCCTCACAGATGTGGGGTCGCCCACCTGGCTCCGCTCCTGGTGCTCTGCCCACGCTCGCCTCAGTTCCTCCCTCTGCAACAGACAGAACTTACCTTGTTGCTCCTGGGATTAAAGGGGGCAATGTGTGTGAGGTGCTCAGCGTAGGGCCTGGCAAAGGGAGGTGCTGAAGCAGTGTTGCCTGTTTGTATCGTGACAATATAATAATGGGCCTGCCCTGCTGTGAGCTCGGGCTGAGCCTGGGGCTGGGGGTCAAGGACCCCACCTGGAGGGCAGGGAGGTCCAGGTGCTGGGCTGTGGGGGCTGGGCACCAGGAGGCAGGACTCTGTGAGGCAGGACTCTGTTCTCAGACCCAAGGCTGTGGGGCCATGGCCAAGGGGGGCCAGGGGTCCCCCAGCTCTATCCCAGAAGGTGTCATGAGTTCCTTCTGGCCTGAACCCAACTCAGATGGAGAGACACCATATTCTTCCGTTGTCATTTCTGCTAAATTAGGTGGCCAGGCTTTTTTCTTTGGCAAATCCAGGGCCGTGCATCTGTATGCTATTTTGCATAAACCAGGGCCTCATTTGCATCTATTTGCATGTTTCTCTGGAAGTGAGAGGAGGCCCGAACTCAATGTACATAAAACGAAATAGAGTGTGAGTCTATCCTGAACCGGCCTGACGCCCACGGGCAGGGGTAAAGGCGCTCAGAGGGGTGGGCAGTCCCCATGGGGGGTCAGGCCAGGCAAGGACTCTGGGGCCAGCTGTTCCCAGTGCAGCCCAGGCCCGGGGGAAGGGGCTCTCTGGGCACCTGGGTGCAAAGCAGCTAAGGAAGCCAAGATGGAATCGCAGCGCAGGGTGTCCTCGGCTGCCCAGCGCAGACCTCGGCACAGGTATAGACGGGGTGTGGTGGCAACTGTGCTACTAGCCCTGCTGGTTCAGTGCCTACCATGTGCCAGGCACCTTGCCAGACTCCTCAGTGTGTTAGTTCATTGTCTCTGCAGAGCCTTACAGGGTGGGTTATTATCAGCTCCATTTTAGAGACGAGCAAATTGAGGTTCTGAGAGCTAAAGTGACCCATCTAAGGCTGCATGACTGGTCTCTGGACGTCCCGTATTCAAACACAGTTCAATTTCGTTCCAGAACCTTTCCATCCTGATTAAGGAGAATGAGAAATCCATCCTGTGGCTGCCCCAGGAGTGGTCTCCATGGCCTCCTTGGAGCCTCCTTCTCTCCCTTCTCTCCGGGGAGGGAACTTCTCTTGCTTTCCTGTGTTTCACCGCATTGCCTCAGGTACCAGCAAGGAGGAATAGTAGGGACACCTGTGCCTTCTTCATGCCTGCAGGTTTCCCTGGCAGTGTGACCAGGTGGCTGGGCAGCTGCCTGTGAGGGCAAAGGTCGTGTGTCCATCGAGGGAAGGCACTTTAGTCCCAGCTCTCTGCACACGGCCCG